TCACCTTTATCCTTATCCATTCTTCTATACTTTAAGTAACTTAATTTTAAAATAAAATCGAATATGAGTTCTGTTTGTTTATTTCAGATTTAATGCCTTAACTATTCAACTGATTCTGTCAAAAATAAAGTTATACATTTTACATCTTGTTTTTGTAAACCCCGAGCTTACAAAAAACAAGGTGTCTTTCATGCAGAAACAAAACTATTATTCTCGAGCGATAGATGAATATTTGACGTGATAAATAGCTTTTATTATTCCTCTATTCCTACTTTACTAAATAACATAATGTTTAATTCGTTTGGTTATATATTTGTGGCACTTTAGCATGCATGTTATCAGAGGTACAGAAAGGCACACAGGGTAAATTTTAACCAGAAAAAAAACATATTGTGAACAAGTTTTAACGGGAGCTAAACCGCAGCCATAAGCTAGTTTGAATATGGTATTTAAGAGTTTATCTTAGTGTGTTGACTTTGTGCGTTTACTTTAAGAAGTGACGTTTTAGTTAACCTACTCATTTAGAAACTTAAAGTTACAGAAGGCTGCGGTTCCTTAGCAATATTAGCAGACGAATATATTTTAGAAGAATCTTTTAGATGATTTTTAGAATAATAATATCTGCTCCTAAAAAGATATCTTTAATCATCATCAATAGCCTATGACGGTCCACTGCTGGACATAGGCCTCTCCTTAAAAAGGAGGTTTTGGGTGACATGCCGCTACACTGTACAGTGTTTACCGGTGAAAGCACTTTACAGTGTATTGGCATGTCAGGGGTTTATATACCACGCCGGTCAGCCGGGTTGGTATAGGGTTTGTTTCAAGTCTTCCTTCTCTTTGCAGTGCTGTTGTCTGCATAATTTGCTCCCTTAGTCGGCTCTTACGTCACCCTCGAGATGAATAGATATGGTATTCTTAATCCGTCACCACACGGGTAAAAAAAAGGTATCACCAGATATCTGTTGGTTGTGTTTATCTCCTAGCCAATTTAAGCATACATCCTGTAGTAATAGAACTTACTTAAAAGAGATAGATGAGATTATTAACAAAAGTGAAGGTGCCAAATTTCACTGCTATCGTATCAACGTGTGAGATCTGATCACGACAGAACATGTCACTTTTTGCATTGCACGTGTCCTTTTGGATTTACCCTTTAAAAGTATTCGAAAATTACTGATAACTATGTACATATTTGCTTCTTGAGTCAGTGCGCATTAATTCTTCATCTTCATTGCTGTAGCTGGTTAATTTATCTACATTTTTTGTTTGTTCGCTCGCTTAAACGCGCCTAGGTATCTCTGAAACTATTAATCAGATTTAAATGATACTTTTTGCATTGGATGGAGTATTTATTGAGTATTAATATAGGATATAGAACATACATGCATTTCATTGCAATCTCTAAATAATTATAAGCATAATTTGACATATCAGTAATCTCATTAAAAACACATGTTAAATGTATTGTGAAATATGCAATTTTCGCAAATCACATTTCACCGCAAAAGTGGTGAGATCTAATTGTTACGAACAAGTAATGATTCATACATTAATTTATGAAATAACTACTTGTAGTATTAATACGGTCACTATAACATATTATTAGAAAACTAATAAAGAATACGGAGTGTCACCACCCCTATTCATCCCGTGGGTGTCGTAAGAGACGACTAAGGGGGAAAAATACGCAGAACAACCGCACTTCAGAGAGCACTGCCCAGCGTGGCAAAACCTCCTTTCTAAGGAGAGGCCATGTCCAGTAGTAGACTAGTAAAGGCCTTTGATGATCCAACCCGTTAACTTACTTTTTACTCGACTGCGCCAGAAGAAGGGTTATATTTTTAGGTATGTAGTAGTAGTAGTAGTAGTAGTAGTAGTCTAAACGGCTTAATGTATTTTGACTCGAAAATTGATTCGTGTTAATTGTGAGAGTGACTCTGCCTATATCAAAATTATAATTGCCTGTGTGTATATTTAAAGTATCTACCTAGGTAGGTTATACATATTAACGCAGTCGGGCTTTTTGTTTTTTTAATTATTAGTACCTAACTCTTGGTAGGTTCTAGTGCATATTAGATATAGACATATTAGTACGTTTTTCTCAAATTTTTTGTACAGTTTATGTTCATACGTAAAACACACAACTAATTTTAAAACCCCATTGTCATGCCAACCACATTATATTTAATGCACCTAACCTAACTACTCGTATAATGGTTACCTAGAATTTATTTTCTAAAAAGTAATTGACTACCGGAATCAATTTTACGAAATTTAAATAACATGTAAAGAACTATTCAATAAGTTTACAAGACAATACACTTCAGGTATGTTTAAAAACTATGATTCATGCCATTTTTAGACATTATCGTTGGCCTTAACTAAATAGGTGCTTGCAACAAACAATTGTTAGTATGGGAAACGATTAACAATGAACATTTGTGGTTTAGGAACATTGTTTAAAACAAATGCATGTTTCTTCTATTTGGTAATTGCTAATCAGTTTGATTGTTTTTATATTGTGATTTTGTTTAAATATATACGATCGTAATCGGTTCGGATAGCATTTCAAAAATAATTTAGGATTATGACTCGGTACTCGATTCTCTTAATCGAGATTATTATTCGTAATTGCCATAAAAAAACAGTAAAACTCGTCAAATTTAATTCTTAAAAGATCTACTTAATGTTTAATAATAAATATTAACTTTATTAATTGATATCATGACATGGTATCTATTAATTGGTAAAAATATTTTATTTGTTTGATTCTACAAAATTTATCTAAAATAGCAGGAATAAGTCAGTACTTACTCCTGCTTTTTTGGTAAATTTGAAAAAAAAAAAACTGAATATGGACGGTAAAGTGCCAATAGGTACTTCCCAATGAGGTACTTCCATTTTTCTAGGAATTAACTTTTTAACGCTTTTCTTAGAATTTAAAGCAACTAACTAATCACACGTTTCAATAAAGTCCCTCGTGTTTATTTTTTTGATGATGATTTAACTTACACTAAAGTAGCGTGTTATTTGTTCATTTTATTCCAATATAACCTTAACCACCTACCTAATACCTAGTACTTAAAAGCATTACACTTCTTACCTTAATATAATCAAATGCATTGCATAATAACTAATTATAATTGAAGCATTAAGTACTTATTATAATTCACGATAAATCAATAAATTTATTAAATAAATCATGTCCTTTCTAGCATTCCATTTATTTTCTGTCAAAATCTTGACTTTAGATACCTAAAGTCGGCGAAATGCATACCTATGCAATATTTAATTTGAGTCAAATCTCCACAAATTACTTTTTGTTTTTTTATCGTTAAATTTCAGGCAAGTTCCAACGTTTTTTTCATTTTGTATCAAAAAGTAACGTAAATATTTGAAATATTATTTATACACACTATACCAATATAATAAAAGTAGGTTAGGATAAGTTTTTTGGTTGAATGTTAACTATCAGAAAGATTTCAAAAAGAGATTTTTTTATGGTCACTGTACCACTCATAAAGGTTATCTATGGCTAATCCCAAAACATTCTGTGATAAATTAAATCTGACTGATTGGTACTTCCAAAGGATTAGCGTATTTATCCAAACAAATAAACAATGCCTTTAGTTTCATTACATTAGGTATTATAGATAATAATAAATTAGTAGTTGAAAAGCTCACGCACAAATTAGTTATTTTTTTCTTTTTAAGTCCACTTTATATTTATAAGGTACGATACTTTAACAATACCAGTACTTAGCAACTATATGGAGGCGGCGTAATTCGATCAAAACGCCAGACTAACAAAGATAAACGAAACTGATTTTTTATCTATGATTCGTTCCTGATTTATTATTAATTTGTTATCAAACCAAAATAATATCATCCCTACCCACCACAAACCCAAAAACGAAGTTAACATACCTACTATTACCGAATATCGAGGCTATGGTGTTGGTACCTATATTATTTTTGACGAACATTCTTCGGCTATTGTATTTATAAGAATGCAGAGTTAGATTATGCAATCCGTGGACTTTTATTATAAATTAAAAATTTATGACTTGTTTTAAAATAATAATATCTAACAATGTAATAGACAGCTACAAATTTAAAGTGCTTCAAGATGAGCCACCGGCCTCGGTTTTCTATGTGGTCCTTTTCCGTGCTGTTTTGTGGAAATAAGTATACTTCTATAAATAAGCATAAAATCACTTCAATTAGTATTTAAGGACCGTCGCGTCTATAACAATAGTAGGGCTCAGTTTATTGAGTGATTAATTTGAGTAGGTGGGTAGGATTCAATAACGTTATTATTTATTTACACCACACGGCACACGCTCGAAGTACGTTTTAAGGGATAGTACTCCCGAGTACTACGCGGGAGGGTAGATTAATACTCTTTCTGTTTTTTTGTTTGATGTTAAGAAAGTATTGTATTTGATGATTAGATGTAAATGATGTAAATAAATTTTGTACGAAATGAAAGTTGTTAGTAAGTTATAATTTCTATTTATTTGATATTTTTTTGTTATTTTAATTGATTAATGTAATCTAGTAAATAAACAACAGTAGTTTACATGTCATTAACAACGAAGAGTAGACACCATCAATCACTTCACATATTTACAATAAGAACTAGAAACTATCTACATAGCTTGGTCGTTTTCAGACTTTATTAATAAATGGTTTAATATAACAACTATCACTGTTCTACATATACAGTTTAAAGTAAAAATAATATCTATCGATTTTATAAATATAATAATTTACACTTTGTAGATTAATAGGTATAGAAGGAGAGAAGAATGTTTGTTCAAACGCGAAAGATAGAAAAGTAACACAGACAGAAAAGTAAAACTCAGGCTCACTCCAGGTGAATATAGAAAAACAAAACTATCTAAACAAAACATAAGAATGAGGATTTCACTAGGGAATATCTACCGCCGGGGCTTAATACTGGCTATTCACATTTGTTACAAGCTAATCACTGTCTAGGTGTCCGGCGGGCGCTGCTGGTCCGTGGGGCTAGGCGGCGCGGCAGGAGCTAGCGCCGAATGTCGACGTAACTGCTGCAGTAACGCAGGTTCTAGCGCCGGCCACCAGCCGCCTAGCAGCGGATACTGCGCCGCCGGTGCTAGAGGAGCCCGCACCTCCTCTTCACCTCCTCGCTCTTCTTGATCACTTGCTACAACATCTATATCTTCTTCAGGCTCCTCCTCACAACTACTATCACGTCTTTGTCGTTTCTCCGGCGCATCATCCGGTGCTAGCAGGGAGGCGACGTCGAACTGCCTCTTCCGGGTCTGCCCGCCGCCTGGTAGCCGGCCTCCACCCCAAAAGGGTAATGGCAAGGCCGTCGGAGGCGGCGACTGCGGTGGTGGTGACGGAGAGTCTTCACCATCATCGTCCACGGCCAATCCCATATGTTTCCTCACTTTCCTTTGCGCTTTACGCCTTCGAAAATCTCCTTTCCGAAAGTCTTCAATGTTAGCTGGATGTATCGCCCAGTAATGACCTTTCCCGTTTGCAGATCTGCCAGCTTTTACGAAACAGTCGTTTAGCGACAGATTATGTCGTATTGAGTTGCGCCATCCGGGCCCTCGGCTGCGGAAGTAAGGGTAGTTGTCCAAGATGTGCTGGTAGATGTCGGAGAGGACTAGCTTGCGATCCGGCGAGCTGAGTATCGCCATTGCGATGAGTCCAATGTAACTGTGTTGAGGTTTCGGCTCCTCCGGTTGGAGAACTCGTTGTTGAAGCAATGACATGGAGAGCGCGAGTCGGGGTCCGTATGGTGTGTAACATGGTGCAACAGTTGGTGGATATAGTCGAAGTCGTTCGGCAACAGCATAGTTGTACAGTTGTAAGCGATAATGGTCGATAGCTGCGGCTGTAACTGTAGGCGCGTCTTTACCGAGCGGCCAAGAGCCTCCTTCGGCGCCGCTGCACATGTTGTCGGGTGGAGAGCGTGGCGCGGAGTGCGGAGTCACGTTGGCCGGTGGGCGCGCGGCGGCCTGCGCTGGAGGGCGGGGAGCGGCGCTGACGACGACCAATCACCGCGGAGCCGCTAGTTGTATACGTGTTTTTGTTTAGCGACGCCCCACTACAGTGGCTTTGCAACTCCACGCTCCCTGCCTTGAGGCTAAGCGTAGCGACGGCAACAACATTCTCTAATGTTCAATGAAAATTATAGCTAATAAAACAGTTTGACAGAAAAAGTAGCTTAATAACTTATTATATTATGTGTCTTGCCTACAGTTTTCATATCTACGAGTTTGTTTGTTTGTACAACTCATGCCAAAAAGTTTATGTTTCTACTTACCTATACTTTAATATAATTCTATTCAACTCTTGTAGGTATGTGTTGTATATGTATTTTATTAAGTTGGCTAACAGCTAGCTTTTCAGGCAAATACCTACTTAGTTAAAAAACTGCATTTCTTTATTGTTATAATTTAATCTGATCAATAATTTATAATAAGGTTTAGTTACACACAAGTTTATTTGAAAATGAATAAGAATAGGAAAACCATAAAGGGATTTTGAAAGTACACAACTATTCAAAAGGCATCTTCAAAAACTGCTTATAGTTAAATGTTATTACTCGCTTCAAGAGTTCTTAGAAGACATGCAGCTTTATTTATATAGAAGACGGATCAATTTGTATTTTTTTTGTTGTTGTGCTAGGACATCTCATCATTTTATTGTAATTGTATGACATTATATAATTTTATTTTATGACTGTATGACATTATGTTATTTTATTATTATTGCTTGACATTAATTGAATTCTAAACACTTATTTTGGCTATATGACCTTGTGTATTGATTTATTGCTGTTTTAAAATATGTAGTATTCTCTATCGATTTTTTTTTGCATGCCTTATGGTTGAATATGGTAAAAGAACAATTATTGTATGCATATTCCATTCCATATTCGCAAATTAATAAATGAATTATGAAATAATTGTAAATTATTTAAAATTATATTAGGTAGGTACCTACTTATCTCATTTTCATAAAGTGTAAAGATTTTTAATATTTTCATTACAAATTGAACGAAAAAGTTGTGTATTTCTGACCACTTTGAAATTAGTGAACATTAGATTTGAATTATTAATTATGATGATGGTTTTGTATGAGTGTGTTAACAATAATAGACCAACTCGCTTCATAATTTGGATTACTATACATTAAATCACTAATAATCGACGGGTTTATTTTATTGAATACCTATGCATTTTGTCGAAGAATCATCATCCCCGGATCTATGATGTTTTCGAACCTTGGCAGAAACTTATTAGTGGCGTACTTCACTCAAACGTTCGAGATAAATTATTTAAAAAAAAAACTCACAAATATTTAAGTTCAAGAGTAGTGTGGGCCAGTGTGGTACCTTTTTCTTACAAGTCGACGGTGAGCCAACCAGGTTTCCGTATGCTAGGCGCTTGGTGGAGCAAGTTTTTATTTTTAATCATTCTTTATTATGATTTTGGCGCCCCCGGAAACTGCCGCCCAGGGCGGGTACCACGGTTTGCCTCCTCTCTCTAGATCCGTTGCTGGTAATCATACCTAAATAAGTTTTTGTGGAACAACCACAAAAAAACTATTTAGCATGCTTGCAAGTAGGTAATACCTAAACGGCACTTCATTTACAACTTGTTTTCTAGAACTTACCTATTGCTCTATGCAAATACTGTGTAAGTATTAGGTATTACGAGTACCTACATTACCCCTGTAGGTTTTCGGTACTCTCCCGATCTGTTTGTTAGTCAATGAAATAAAGTCTGTTGTGCCCTTTATTAATAATTTACTTGAAAATATTAAACATTCAACGTACAATTTCCCTTTCCCCGACAATTGTGTAGTTGAAAAGGATTATAAGACCATAATGTTCTGCAGTTCTGAATCGTGCAGATTTGAAATTGTTTTCTGCTGACTGTACTTCGCAAAAACCGTTACAAATGACAACTTCGCAGCGAGTGCTTCCCTGTTATTTTAGAGATATCACAACACGCAACAACACATTACTTCTCAGGAGGCAGGCGGAAAAGAGACGCAGATATAAAAATACATCACCCTGCTGAGTTAGATAGAGACGAAATAACGTGCAACAGTTTCACATATCACCTTTGGTTTGCTCGAATAACGTAAGTATGTAACTCAATGGAATTGAAACCATACTTTACCTTTTCAAATTTAAAGTTGAAATTAGCTTGAGATGATGGAAAGTTAATTCGTTTTCAAACTAGTAGGTAAGCTTTGAAAATAAAGAGGCTCCGAGAGCAAGCGTGGTGGTGAGTGCGAGTAGGGCAGCAAACGATATTGGTGTAACGCAACGTTCCAACAATGCAGTTGCCGCCCATTTAAATACGCCATTTTGTTTACTGTCTCCACGGCTAGGCGGCTTCAGCTTTTGTATTTTATACAGAAAGCAGTGTTTTGTGGAATAAGTAAATTACAGGAAATATTTACTCGTTCGCAACGTAGACAAAAGAGGATACGGGCTACGATGCGACTGTCGCTCTTTTTGCTAATCATCATATTATATGCTGATTTTATTAAATTGTAATATTTTCTTTTGAAATAAAAATGTACTGTTATAGAGAATGTAATATTTTATTTAGATACAAATTGTGTAAATTGGATTAGCTGCAGCTTTAAAAGGGCGTTAATTAGCTTTAGTCACATTTTAAATTATAAATATTACACGATTTTTTAGTCTTGTAATTCGATTAACCAGAAAATTGTTGAAACACTTCGCAATGCAAAAAATCGCTGCATTGTCTAAAAGGATGCAACGCATTTATTCTTTTGGTTGCAGGTTCTGCTTCCTGTACCATAAAATAACACCAAAAATGTACAGGCTCATTTGTTTCTGAACTGAGATACTACCAGTGTACCTACATACAATGTGTCTATGGATTTAATTTGAATCCACGTCACGCGCGGACTGGTTTAAACAAGCGTTCGGTCACTGTTTCCCGCACAACAAACACACATCTTAATTGTTAGCGGTTCGTCACACCATAAACTGTTTTTTACCTAAGTATTGATTTAAGGTTATTAGTTATTTATTTTATTTGCTTTGATTATTTAAAAAGGTATTGTGCTGTAGAAGACATCAATGCCACGTGAAAAATGCAACTGGACCTGCCACAGTCAGGAATGTCAGGTTACAAGCAGGGAGGTTTATATTGTCTCTTCCTACCATAGAGGCAGACAGGAGTAATTTTTTATTTATTTGTAGCTATATATATTTATATATAAACACACACACATGTATATATATATATATATATGTTTCCTACTAACTGCCATTCGTAACGCAGACGAAAGTACCCACCTACCTAAGTACGCCACAGATTCTTTGTTGAATGTGAATTTGTTGGTTCAATGCATTCAAAGCGACGACATGCCGATAGAGATCCTATCCGCGCAGAATTATAAGTACCTATCTACGACCGAAGCAATTAGGTATATCTTATAGCCATTGTGCTGCGTAGCACTGAAGCGTAGAAGAAAATAGAAAAGTCCTAGCGTGCCTAATGCTGTAGATATATGAATTCCTTGCCGGATTAAACTCTCAATTAATTTCCGCTATACAAGTAATTTATATCGATAGGTATATGTTATGCGTAAGTATAAGTTAAGTTATATCTATAGAAAATCATTTGTTTCATTTTTCAATAACAATGTCACCTTTATAGCGATAGCGGCAAACATATTTATATGGTAAAGTTTAGTGAGAATAAATTTTGTTCTTCATACTAATTATTTTCCTTCGATACGTAAAGTTTTTTAATTATTATGTTATGTGAGGAGACGGATTAAGAATAGGTACAGAGTATTCAACATGGTATGGACGTTGGTGTCGTAAGAGCCAAGTAAGGGAAGAAACAGCACTGCAAAGAGAAGGAAAACTTGAAACAAACCTTATACCAATCCGTCTGGCCATCTATACGTAGGCCAAAACCTTCTTTCAAGAAGAGGCCTATATTCAGCAGTGGACTATTAAAGACTGATCAACATAATGATTAAGTAATATGTTTATTTTTTGAAATCATATATTCTAAAAAAGGCATGCATAAGTTCCTCACCAAGCTACACAGCTTGGACTACGTGTCTACGTGTTTTTGTCCTATATATGTATAAGCACTAATTAGGTATGGGGCAAAAAGACAGAGGACAATGTGTAAGAAACTTGTTTTTTTTTTCACTTCTAATAAAATAATCAATCCTAAACTACGTAATATCTTAGATAACTGCTCAATTAACAGCTTGTTTGTATACTTAGTTTCAGATTTGTTGTTGTCCCATATTTGACGCTCTTTTCGATCTGTAGGTACATAGAAATACTCAAAAAGACCCTGTTGCTCTGCCCTGCTGCTGTTTTAGAGCAAAGAAAGCTAAAATTGAAAAAGCTGGTGTCTTAACGAATTCAAACGTATGACAAATTTCAAAAACCTACAGATCAGTAGTAAAGCGGTTTACACTGGTTATTAGTAATCTTGTTAACCTCTGTCCTTGTGGTAAAACAGAGTTTACGTACGTTTAGTTTCTTCTTGTCCCATTGAGAGGAGTTACTTATGGAAAGTTTGTAAGTCGGCAAATTTTTATTAGAATTCAACTTTCAACCTAAGAGAGTAGTAAATTCCGCATTTTTAGTTTTTATTTTGTAGGTAGGTGTTAACCGTTTTTAGGGTTCTGTAGTCCTGACAACTAAGGAACTCTAAAAACGGTACATAGTTTGACACACACTGCAGGTTTGTTTTTTCTTATTTTAGGTAATATTTTATTTTTCGGTTCCTATTACGTAATATTAACTGTAAGTAACTTAAAGCAAGGAGATTATCTACACATGTCCTTGAGAGTATAAAGTTGATTTAATTTCTATAGCAGTATCATAATAGTTGAGTAGTTAAGCAATCCTAGCCAGGTTAGTCTATGG